CTTCACTGCTACTTAGACTGCCTTTTACTTGCCCAGAATCAAAGAAGCTAGCTAGCTATGCCGCTGGGAAAAAATGGGAACTTGGTCAGCCACGAGGCGTTGGCATGGAATTCCCCCACTTGAGCTATCCGTTCCGCCAAAGCGGCTCAGCAAAATGCAACCCCCAATTCGCCGCGCTGCTTGGCGTGTGCTTTTTGCTGGACATGGTGGGGTTGTCTAAACGTTGGGGAACCCTTTGAACAGCCCCGACGGGGTTCCCTGAAAACCGGATGCCCATGTGTCCCATCCCAGCGTGTTTGGGCCAACCTCCACAAGCCTTTCATGCTGGAGCATAGCTTGAATGTACATGAGGCGCACTCCCGCGAAAATTGAACGCCACAAAACATGTTTAGACTCGCCTCTTGGTGAAGCTCTTGTTTGCAACTTTACACTCTGCAGATGTGCGATTTCAGGTTCTGCCTCACCTCGGGGCCTGGTTGTGGAAAATCACCCTTTGTGTGAGACGAAAAGGATTCCCATGCCCATCACTTTGTCACTTTGAGGGGGATTCCCTTCTCACGTTAAACTGGCAACCTAAAACCAAGCGTTCCACAATCACAAGGTAAATCATAAAACGAGAAACGAGCAGTGCCCACAACCCGTGACTTTTGCATCTACATACGAACGTGGCTATAAAAGGATTATAGAGGTTGTATTCGCCTTGGCCCCAAAGAATTTTGCTTTTCCCGCCCCCCACCCATGTCGGATGGCCCAAAATCCTGTCCGGCGGGCCTTGAAATTTTCGGGGTTCGTCGGCGTCCAGCTCCATGGGTCCATTTTTGTCCGAAATTTTGTCCTGAAAAGCATGACCTTCTGCTGGCCAGTCTGACGTGTCTGAGACTAGGCTCAGGCCCAGCCCAAGCAACTCGCCTGCTGGCCAGGCCTGTCAGCGAAGGCAACCAAGCATCAAACCCAAGCTTGTCTGAAACAGGCGCCCAACCAGCAACTTGGCCAAGCATGGCATGCCAGCCACTAGGCCGGCCCCCAGCTCCCAGCCCACCAGGCTCAGCCCAGCATAAGGTCAGGTTTGTCTAACGCCAGTCTCACGTGTCACGTGTCTGAGACCTGCCAGCTACTAGGCCTGTCTGACGTGCCCCAGCCCCTCAGTCCGGCTGCCCAAGCAGCTCAGCCCAGGCTCGCCAGGCCTTGAATTCCTGCTCGCGTCTAACCCCAAGTCATCCAGCAGGCCGGGCTGAGGGACTGGGCCTGAGGCTAGTCTCAGGCTGGCATACTTTGAGACCAGTCTCAGGCTGGCGTGTCTTACGTGTCTGCGACTGCCAGCCCAGCCAGCAACTCGCCACCCAGCCTCAGGCCCAAGTGTGTATGAAACAGGCCTTGCCCATCCAGCAACCCGCCCAAGCACAGCTCAGCCCAGCCCGCCCAGCCCAAGTTCCAGGCGCAACCAGCAGCGTAGTCCGGCTGCCCGGCAGCCAGCAACCCACCCATGGCTTCGCAGAGTCGTGGGTGAGACAAGCTTCAGGCCCAGCCCAACCAGCAACCCACCTCAGCCCAGCCTGCCCAGCCCCGGCCCCGGCGCATCTCAGAGCATGCCAGCCACTAGGCCGGCCCCTCCCAGCCTATCAGCAGGCTCAGCGCAGCGTGCCAAGGTCAGGTTTGTCTAACGTGTCTGGGACTGGCCTCAGGCCAACGACCAGTCTCACTAAGCCTGTCTGACGTGCCCCAGCCCCTCAGTCCGGCTGCCCCCAAGCCACCCAGCAGGCCCAGCTTTTTCGGCGCAGTCTGAGACCTGCCAGCCTGAGACTAGCCTCAACCCCAGTCCCTCAGCCCGCCTGCGGGCGCTCGCCACCCAGCCTCAGGCCCAAGTGTGTATGAAACAGGCCTTGCCCATCCAGCCCACCCGCCCAGCCCAAGTTCCAGGCGCAACCAGCAGCGTAGTCCGGCTGCCCGGCAGCCAGCAACCCACCCATGGCTTCGCAGCCTCGTGGCTGAGACTAGCTTCAGGCCCAGCCCAACCAGCAACCCACCTCAGCCCAGCCTGCCCAGCCCAGGCCCCGGCGCATCTCAGGGCATGCCGGCCCCCAGCTCCCAGCCCACCAGTCAGGCTCAGCCCAGCGTGCCAAGGTCAGGTTTGTCTAACGTGTCTGAGACTGGCCTCAGGCCAACGACCAGTCTCACGTGTCTGAGACTGGTCTCAAGCTACGCCAGCTACTAAGCCTGTCTGACGTGCCCCAGCCCCCCAGTCCGGCTGCCCAAGCAGCTCAGCCCAGGCTGACCAGGCCTTGACCTCCCAACACTGGATTTCGGTGTTCCTGACCCTTCCCTCAAACTAGGCTGGGCCGAGGCGGGCAACGCGAAGCGTTTACAATTAATTATATTCCCTATGAGAAAGTAAGTAGAACCACCTATTAACATATAGCAATTAGGGTTTTAGGGATCCCCAAGTAAAGGATGTGTACCACGAGCTCGTTTTACCCCGCATCGGTGAGCTCGCCAATCCGCTTCACACCCGCCCAAACACTGCCTGCCTTGCGGCGAGCTTCTTCACGCCCTCATCGCAGTCGCCCTGGAAGAAGACGTCGCGGCCGTCGCCTGAGTCGGTCGACTTGGCGGTGTATTTTCTTTGAGTGAGGGCACCCTTTTGGGGATAGATTGAAGCCAAACAGAAGGGACACCCCCAACTTTGGGGGCTCCCTAAGTCTCAACACCATGGTGCCTTTTCCTTTTGACATCCCTTTAAACAAACTCAAACATGGTACCCTCAACAACACACCCGCAAAGCTTCCACAAAGCTTAGTGCGGGGACAGTCTCAGAAATCAAACGTGATGGATAACCGCCCTCTTGATTCCGTACATGAGCGATAGTCAAAACTTCTTGTATGGCCTATGGTCACGGTTCCCTCACAACAATCATTGTAATGGATTAATCATTAAGGTTCCTTACTACTAGGTGGATGACCATCCCTTTCAATCCCAAGTTAAGCAAAGTAAAGGGGGTCCTTTGACCATGGCACACATGGTTTTGGATAAGCCCCTTTGCACCTGCTTTTGACCGGCAAAAAAAAGGATCCCCGAAACGCCGGGAGGGGAGGGGGGGGGCAAAAGAAGATGCCGCTGAAACTGATAGTGATTTGCCTCAAATCAAAGCTGTACTGGTGAGAACGCAAGTCCGTGAAGTCTCCATGGCGGCTCACAGGCTGTTAGAAAAGCCGCAAACCTGAAGATACCCAACACAACTCTCGTTTGCCGCTCCGCCTGATGCTTCAACGTTAGATGTTTCCTTTGGACATTACCAAAACTCAAGTTCAAAGAGTCAACCAAGGGCTGATGGTACCAAACCAACCATCCGGGGCCTGTTGACCAAACTACGACCCAAAAAACACACGGCCTGATAGAGGTTGGAGGGGCTTCAACGGAGCCTTTGCCAACCCGAGGACTCGGCCAAAGTCAAAGCCGCCCGCCAGCTCGTGACCTACAGCCGGCCGAAACTCGCAGGGCTTTTGCATTTCACCCCCCCCCGGTCCCCCCAATGGTGGGCGTCCTTTTGGCTTCCCATCACACCAACCCACAAGTCCCCCATAAAAGACACCCACGTTGGCCGCTTCGGGTCCTTTGATCCAATGAACTTTCTGAATCTGAAGGTCTCTCCCAATTCACCAGGCTGCCTCCAATGGCTTCGGATTCCCGTCCAAAAGCCCGGAAATTGGAACCTCTCGCCGATTTTTTTTGTATCTGAACCGCTGGGTCAATTTCGCGCTTGTCGTTCAAAGCCAACCCTGACATGTACTCGCCAAGTATAGAAGGCGGGGGGTAGAACATGTCTGAACCCCCAACACGCGAATGAGAATGTCTTCACAGCCTCGCAAGATGGATGATTCTCTGATTGAGGGAAGCCGAAAAAACGCAAAAACCTCCCTTGTTTCTTGCTGGGCATTGGACAGACTTCTCTGACAGCTACAGGATCTTTACCGTTTCTCGATTTGAGGGTGTCCCGAGGACGGAGGTTCCAGGTAGGTTCTAGGGAGGCTCCTGGCTGTGAGTACCTGACTCGTTTTTTTGTTTCTCTTTCCTGGAGGGACCCTCTAGGTTGATCCTTTGGGCGAAGGAACTTTGAGGATGCCACTGCGCAACTGGGGTCTGGGTCAAAACTAACTTCCGTGGTGGATTGAACAAATCAAGCCCCACTGTTTGCCAGTTGGATGGTCTTCCCAAAAAGCTTGTAGAGCCCATGAGCTCGTGAGAAAGGGGGCTTCAAAGGTGAACCAACGACAAACAGGCCGAGGTCCGGGCACAAGCCCACAGGCTCCCGGTTGATCAAGAGCCTCGCGCATTGAATTGGAGCCCTTGTTGCGCGTAGCACTCATCGTTTGGGCCTTCTCTACCCTCCGAACAAGCTCTTAAGACTCTACGAACCCCTTTTAAGAAGCTTCGGAGCACCTTCCAGCGGGTTGGGGGGAGGGGTGCTCTGGGTCTCCCCCCTGAAAGTATCTGTCAAATAGCAAAATCCCACTACTTGTGGCTCTTTAGACTCCTCTTGGTGGTTGAAGGTCTTTGAAGCGACATCGAATCAACTGAAATCCCCGGAGCCGCTTTTGGTCACGCTCTTGGTCAAAGACAGTTGTCGTTTAGATTGGTGGTCACCACTGGAGCACGCCCCCAACACCAACAATTGACAACCAACCAATTAAATACAAGCAAGCTATGTTTATTCTACGCCAAATAATTAAATATCAAGTTCTCAAATACACAAGAGGTTCTCCTAGGCTTGGCCCATCGAGACCCGGATTTAAAACACTGGTTGATCGATGCACCTCCCCCTGTCTTAGTAGGTCGAGTTGATTGATCCGGGGTCAACAGTAAAGTCAAAACCTGGAATCCTCCAAGGTGCTTGATGTCTTTTCCGCATCCACAGAAAATATGGAGCCATTGTCAGGAAACGTGGTAACCAAGCATGCTTGCCAGGCTCAGGCAACGCCAGGGCCAAGTAATCAAACACAACTCTGAGAAATGTGAAGAACTTACAAGCAATCGAGGAAACCTGAAATCCCAGAAAAAAGAGCTGCTGGGAACAGGTTGGAGATTGGATGGGAATTGGGCAACCTAATTCTGTGAACTCCGGATAATTATTCACCAAGACCCTGATCACAGCCAACTCCTCGTATGGATAATTCAACCACCAATCATGCCCCCCGCGCCAGTTCCAAACCAAAGGCGTTTAGCGGGAAGAGGGACTCATGCACTGGGAATTTACTACTCGGTCAACGTCAGGGTGGAACATCCTGAGTAAATGGAACCCAGGGCCCTGAATTGAAGACCCCCTGGTTGATTTGGTTTGTTGCGGGTGCGTCCCATTCTGGATTGTTCAGCATTCAGGAACGACGCCCAACATTTATCTGACTTCTGCACAAATCCGGGGTAGACATTAATCCGAACGGTTTTCAGTGTGCTATTGTGGTTGCATCCTCAAAATCGAGAAACCCTTTTGGGTCTTGTTTTCGAGGAATTCCAACATTGAACATACTTGTTTTTTCCCGCGGCGCAGCGTGTCACGCTACTTTCCATCAATGTCACAACTAATTCTCAGTGCCTGTCACAAGCAGATGCTCCGATTTTTGATTGCCAAAATACGCTGCTTGACAATGTAGGCTCCCTGGCCCAACATGCCAATTTATGGAGCAGACATGTCCACCCTGACCTATTTGTGAGCATAGAGTTTCATTGAATTAGGGCTAGGCAGCTCAGCTCGGGTGTGAGTATTTGCTGGAGACGCAGGGCCCCTTGGGCCACTTACTTCGTGCACCAACCGTTCGTTTGACGCTTTCTCCATCAAACAGTCGCACGCCCAAGAAGCGAATTATTGCTGCTGTTTGTTGGTCACCCCCCCCCCCCGCCCGTCCAGGTCGAGAACAAAAACAGTCCTTGGAAGGTTTTCTTGGACCGCCGCGAACCATGCTAGTTCTGGTCCTCTTTGGTCCTCTCCCTGTCTTGGTCAAATGGACCGCAATAGGCAAGTAAAAGGACATTGTGATGAATTGTCCAGTGCTGCCAAAAACCATGATGAAACAGGGTTGTGTTTTTTTGGGGGGACTCTTTGCTGACTCTTTGTGATCTTGTCAAAGATTGATTTTGTAAACCAACTGTAGTAATGAATATGCTCTTTCTGGATAGCTAGCTTACTTTTTGAAGATCCGCTACGGCAAGCCGTGAAACTGTGAAGGAAAGTACTATGGGAAAACGTAACCGCTTTTGCAATTAAGATATGTTTGTTTTCTTCATTTTTTTGAAGTTCAGGGGGGAAGATTGGCGCTAAGTAATCGTGGGGCTTTGTTCAGGGGTTAAAACACAAAATGAATTAGGGGCAACTAAATGACCAAACCTTGCCGCAAATTCAACATAGCCTTGGTGCGGGGAGCCAAGGCAGAGCAGGTTAGCATTAATCGGGCAGGGATTTTAATCATTATCACACTCAACAAAGAATGGCGCGTGGTTTGTGGAACGCTTTGAAGGTTGATCCACCATTCTTTTCACCCAGTTGTGTCGGGAAGCGGCCACAACCCCTGGTTTTTTTTTAATGATCAGGAGGATCCCTGAACAAAAAGGCTGGGTACAGGCAAACACGTGCCGAGCGACGTCCCAAACAACTTCTGCGCGGCTCTGGTTGAACCATGGAAACCTATCAGCAGGCCTCCCCCAAACAAATGGCAAACTTGGAGATTTGCCCAGGTTTCTGGGCACCTTTTTGCATCAAGGCGACCCCGGAATAGCCTCCATGCTCGAATTGTCATTTGGGAGTGGCCCATGTAACGACAAACCAGCTGCCTCAAAAGGGGTGCGGCCCATCTTGATGGCCTGAAAAGGGAAACCAGGATACCAACCGAGAGGGCATGACCCCAAGTTCTGAACACCATGGACACGTGGAGCAACCCCCCTCGGCCCACAAGGTTCCCGTTTTTCGAGGTCCGACATTTTTCGCCCGAGTTCTTCGGCGCTTCGAGTCTCGAACGGCGCCCGCCCCGCGCCTGGGGACGGAGTCGGGCACCAGATTCAACAGCGTGTTGAAGGGGGAGACCTCCAGAGACGTGCCCATGACCTGAGCACGATGCCCGAAGCCCGGCAAATACGGAGGACACCTGGGCCTTTTGAGGGTACTCTATTCTTAAAGGGAAACTAAATGGAAAACCATCTTGGGTGTCGCCCAGACAAAGAAACGCCCACTTCCAGCGGTTGCCTTTTCTTTTCCAAAAAGGCCAGCCTCAAGAGGCCCCTTGCATCCAAGGAAGTTTTGTTTTTTGACTAAAATGAAAGACCAAGAAACAACAGCAACACCCGCGCGCCATCTCGGAAGAGGGCATTATTTCTGGGAGTTGGCCGGACACAGGAGACCTAGAGAGTCTAGGTAAACCATCCAGAATTGAGGATCCGGCTTGTCTGACCCCTTTGTAAACTCCTTATGCTCTGCCCTGAGAGAATCCCTGGCTACCTTCTGAGTCAACTGTGGAGTCCGGATAGAAAGGAACCTCCTCAGGCCTTGCGAAACAAGCTGACTCCATGTGGCTATGATCCTCCAAAACGGTTGCACAAACATCTCCATGATCGCAATCGAAAGGGGCTACCAAAACCGATGTGAAGAATTCAATTTCAGGCCGCCCGCGCCGTTTTACAGCTGGGACTGCCCGTTACGAAACTTCACTTGCTAGGCTTTGATTGTTGCTCGTGTCAACCCAAGGGTCTCCAGCTAAAAAACATGAGCACGGGCTGGCCCCGACATGACGCCGGGACGAAAGTTTTGCGCCGACCTACATCACTGTCCTGTGTTGATGACCTTCTGAGTTGAATTTAGAGGAAAACTACTTAACCGGCACCATCCCTGGTGGGCCTTGCAGAAAACCCACCTTTCTAACCCCCCCCCAATAGAACCACCCGCAAAAACATCCCACCCAAAAACCACAGTCACAACACACCCTACCCACATTGACCGCCCAACCAAACCAAAACCACGCTCTCGCGTCACTCCGCCTGACCTGCCCTGCCTGAACCCCGGCTTGGCCCAACGACTCGGCTGCGACGCTTCGCTTCGACGCGACGCTTCGGCTGAGGCCGCGGCCAGCAGCAGGTCGCAGGTCTCCAGGTCGGGGCGCTGCAGCTGGAAGAACCGCCGCGGCAGGTCCTCGCCTCGCTCGGGCGGGTGGCGATGGCGGCGGATGGGCGACGTGTTACACGTCGGACGGGTGAATGACCCGAGGAGGAAATACATCCACGGCGATTCGGTCGCACCCAAAATTGGGTTTATTTAACTTGTCCGCTTTGTAGGACTAAAAGCATGATCAATAGGACCCGACGTTTGGTTTTCCATTCTGGACATTCCTACACCAGTTGGTCTATCTCTGTATAGGATCTCATCCATCCTAACTGGCGCAGGATTGTTCCCTTCGCTTGGGCAAGGGGACCCCCAAACCCAAATGGGTTGGACTTGTGCCATCTACTTGCACCCAAGAGCCTTGCTTCTCCTATGATAATTCATTTTGATCAATTTAGCACCCCTCCGACCCCGCCACCCCATTCTAGTCAGAGGGGCCCTTGCACAGGGGTCCATATTTTGGGCCGAGAAGTCCCAGCCAATCGCGGTGCGCGCATCGGTGAGACCGAAGCCCCCGGCCGAAGAACACGATCTTTGGCTTGACGAGGCCGCCGTGGAACTCCCGCAGCTCCTCACGTCCAACGCGGTGGCGTCCCAACCGCTGCTTTGTGAGCTGCTACCCGCTGCTACCTTTTGTGGCTTTATGGGGAAACCATAAGGAAATGACCACTTTGGAGGGTCTCCCAGAAAACACACGTGCAGTTGGATTTTGGACATGGGGAATCAAGCAGGATTTTGTGTGCTGGCATAGGGGGGGCACAGAATTTACATGTGCTTGAAGACTCTAGCCAAATTTAGTCTACCCGAAAGCACAACATGTTCTTGGAGGAGATGACAGTTGCAAGCGGGGACCCTGGTAGAAAAAGGAGCTTCTTTTGGCTTAACCATCTGTCACACCCACCAACTCCCCCGCTCCCCGTATGTGCCATGGACGAAACTGGCGAAATGCGGGCCATGGTGTTTTTCGGCGTCCTTTCAGTGCCTAAAGTCTGCTGAGACCCAAGCAGGCTGTTTTACCCTCTGGCAGATCAGGATGTAAGGGAAGCAAGTAGTTGTAGAAGAATCCGCTGTCTGGTGAACGATTCCCATTGCAACTTGCCGCAACTTGCCAACCCAAAATAAGAAACGGCCCCGCAAAAAAAAGGGCGACTTGCTGAATCTCAGTGAAGAACTTCCAAGCATGTTCGGACAATTTCACCACTCCTGCCAGCCCTCATCGCCGGAGCTGGCAAGGGCCTTCTGCAGCTCGCAAATGTCCACATCGTAACTCGCGGCCAAACCTCAGCTCTCCGCGTCGTTCAACGGCCGAAAAGCGCAGGTAGCGTCGCAAGTGCGAGTCACGTGTTTCGTCGTTGGTGGTGACAGAGGGCGATAGAAAGTGAAAAAATATCCAAGGAACCCAAGGGCGATCGTAGATTGTAGGTTGCACAACACATGGCATTCGCAATTTGGAAGGAGTAACCTGGAGAATCGATTTGGGTTCCCAGTGGTGGTCTGCTGTAGTGAAGGCTTTTCCTTCCTCTTTTTGTGTTCGATCCAAGGCATTTTCTCCAGCCCGTGAGGATCCACAAAGACTGCCTTTCGCGTAGCTGGGAATGTCCCACAGGCTGATGCTCCTCAGTGGCTTTGATGGTAATGGTTCTGAGTCGGAACCCGACTGGGGCTCTTCTAAACGAGTGTTATATGTGCCCGTGCTGATGGCGAAACATAAGGATGTCTGATCCCTTTGCTGTGGAAAAACTGGGGGTGTGGGGGTGGGGAGGTTTGGGCAGTCCCTCCCCGGTTCTTCCCGAACCAACGAGGACCACAGGTGTCCGTTCTTGTCAAGGGACAGGGCGTGAAAACAAGCTTTCAATTGGCCAACCACAAATCCATGAATGCCCCCCGACATATCTCATTTGCAACCAAAAGACTTTGCTGATATCCCCAAAAACCACCTTGGCACCTTTGGATGTGCTTCAGGGGCCGACAAGGCCCTTCAAAGTGGAGGGCTGTCTCCAAGTTTCCACCATTGGCTTTGCCAGCCGAGTTGTGGGCGGCCCCGTCAATGTCACCGTGGTTGTTGGGCAATCAGCTTGGGAGTTCCCACTAACTGTTTTTCGTTTGACACATAATCTGTTGTTCTGAGCATGATTGATTTTGTTCGATAAGCACCCACAGCCGTTCAAAGTCATTAGGGTAAAACAGTTGAGCGCTGCCCACAAAAATCAAATCCAGACTCGATTTGAAATTCAGGGTAAGTTGGCGAATACAACAGACCTGTTCCCGCCAAAACACCCACGTTGTCGTCAACCACATGCGCGTGGTCGAAGTTGCCGTGGGCCGCAACCACCAGCTCCTCTGGCAATCCGGCCTTGGAAATCGGACGGGGCACTACGCTATGCACAGCCATACTGCGGATGGATGAAACCCGAGGAAAACTGGTTCATCAACCACCTACCAAATGGTGCAGAAATTTGTGCATCCAGAGTAGGTCGGAAGATTGTATGCAATTACTCTGCCCACCCACAAACACGCAAATCCTGACAAAAAACAGGGAGTTGGTCTAGAAAGTTGGAGGTATATCCTCCCATCAGAACATTGGAGGCACTCAATCAGGCCTTGGATCTAAGCGACCTTTCCTTTTGCGAACGCCCAGGTTGCCATGGCACGGTAGCCTCTGTACCTATCATATGGGGCAGGATTAGTGACCAGAAGTCCCCAACTAGGTTTCTGGGCATTGGGTTAATTGGAGCACAAGCCTTCCGAAGTCTTCTGACATATTCCCATGTGACACGATACGCTGGAGCCAACATAGGTGATTGCATCTGAACCATGTTTGGGATGCCTCCCCTAGTCTGCGCTCCCGAATGATGTTTCAAAATCGTGGTCCCTCCTTATCAGTCACCCACTGTCACACAGGTGATGACATGCCGGGTCCAATGGATGCCGTCCCTGGGGCTCCGTCTGCGTGCTCTAAAGAGTCGATGTTCTGCGTGTAGCACCTGCCATATCCGAATCTCTGTAAGAAGAGGGCATAAGTCCACTCATCTGAAACATAACTTCATTCCGGTGCAACTGCCTTGTGCTCAGTTTCCCTCGAGGATAGACTTGCTATGAGACTTTTGGGTTGTGTAAATGCATTCATGGCAAAGAGCTTCCTTTACCATGGTCACAGAGCGTACGGTAGCCGCTGGCGAACATCCTTTTGAATAATTAATGCTGGCGCCTGATTGAATCGCCTCCATGGCCGAGTGGTCAGATTCATCTTTAGATCATCCCAAAAAAAAGATACCATAGAAAAACACATTTGCAATGCAGGGGCAAGCCCTTCTAAGTTCGTCTTTGGAATAACCTGCTCTTCTTTTCTTCGGCTCCCTCTTGAGCGCGCGCGGCTATTGCAAACCGCCAAGCGCCGCGGGCGTTTGGTCGCCTGCCATCGGAAGTGAAGTGACTGCCAATTTGCCAGGTCCCAACCGCCGGGTATGTTGGGATGCTTCAGGAAACCACAGGAAACCATATCCAGTATGTTTGTAGCTAGGAGAAGAAATAGCTGGAATGAGCCCAGTGAACGGTGCTTTTTGGAACTTCTGAAGTGAGCACGTGAAACACATGTGTTCGTGGAATGCCTCTTTTGTAACATGTTGAAGACATCGTAGTTGGGCGAATTCTAGGGATGCGCAGCCCGCGGCTCGGGGTGGCTGACTACACGGAAAGGAGTCACGGAATGGAGCGCCTTTGCACTTGCTGCATGCAAACAACTTCCTCCAATGGAAACACCTCCGCCATGCCCTTCTAAAGCATAAGCCACTCTTTGCTGAGTATGTCCAAAATCCGGGGACCAACAAGATGGCGCTTCGATTTCCTGTTTCGCCAAGGGAAAGCCTCCTAATGTTCATCTCGTTGCTTGGGACCCCACTTGAGGCGCTCGAGGCTCTTCTTTAGGGCTGCTCACTAGAGCAGAGTTCGGTGGGTGAAAGGGTCAGGAAAACTAAACATGCAACAAACATGTACAAAGGAATGAAAGTGGTGAGCTTTCGGGGCATCCTTTGCTCTTTGGTGCTTTGGTCCAGAGAACCAACGTGAACCTTATGAGATGCCCTGTCTAAAAGGCAAACAAAACTAGTTGACACCATTCAGGTCACTTCGGATTCTGACAAACCGATTCGGGCCCGGCCGCATTGACATGTGGCTGCATCCTCTTCAAAGACTAGATAAACCAATCATCAATTCACCCCTCGTGGAGGTGTGACCGAGACAAGAACTTGTACAAAAAATGACCGGTTCCTTTGCTTGCTGTTTCGGACAAACAAACAAAGCAACTTTCAAGTCCATGGGGTTGAACTCTGTTCTTTGATCGTCAAGTTGGGCAAGGATTCACGGCCAACGTCGAGGGGATCAAACGGCTTCCCGACCCAGTCCATCGCCTCCACCAGAGTTGGCCGCTCTGAAGTCCTGACAGGGAGTCCGGTAGAATACATGGGGAGCCTTTGGTCATGAGCAAACACTTTGGGGGTGGTTCTCCATTCAATTGTATATAGCCGCATCCAACAAAACCTGCTGCTGTAGAAGGGGATACTCCAATCAGAGAGTGAGCATGATGCTTTGACATGATTCCTTTAAGGGGCCTGCTCAAATTTGGGCAACTAGGTGGCCTATGGAACAACCTGCTGCAGGCTCGGACACCGTGTCAAGGAGGAACATATCAGGCGGGTCCATCTTTCTCGGTCCAAGTGTTGTCCCCATAACAATCCTACAATATTGGAGACAACTGACAGTTTGTTGGTGGGTATGCTAGATTCCGCTACGTAGGTATTTGGGTAAGGCTGTATGGTTTACAAAAACAAACAAAACGAGACATCTCAACAACTAGTGTAAAGCTGGTTTTAACTGGGAAGTTCGAAAATAGTGTTGGCCAATCCTAATCCATCATCCCTCTTGGCTCAAACAAAGCCCCTTGCATAACCCAAGGTAAGGATTAAGGAGTGCTTTTTCGAACAGCCCAGTTTAAACATCGGCGCTGAAGAAGTCACAAAGGGTCCTCCCCAATCCTCGCCGCTTGTCTTTCATCTCCCAGGTGGATCCGCGTCGGCTTGCGAGGCTTCAGCTTCCATCCGTGCGGCTTGCGGGGTCCCATGGACAGACGCCATTGAAGTGTCCGCAACATCACCCAAGTGCTGTGAAGTCAGACAGCTCCAACAGCTCCAGCGCCAGCTGCCAGCGGTTGCTCTTCTCACAGGCCGCTGCCGCCAGTTTGAAGATCACTTTGTCCAAAGCTACCTGGGTCCGGTAGTGGGAAACCCGAGCAAAGGGGCTTGGTGCCGCTGAACACTCATTGGAATTGCCAACTAGAAAACCATGGGGGATGCCTCCGTGAAGACTCCTCCCCGATATGGCCAGAAAATCCCTGAGGAGCCCTTGCAATAATCATTCTCTCCGCCACGGGTTTCTGGCTTTGTTGCACCCCGAGTTCGGTTGCAACGCAGTGTTCGCCCTTTCCCTCGGCGCTTAAGCTGCTAGTCATTGCAAAACAACTTTTGGATTTTCCCTTTGGCGGGTCTTTGGCCTTGGTTGTTTAACATGTTTCAGCTAAGTATTGCAGAGCATCAATCTCCTTTCGGTTTCCCTTTTAAGAATCCCGCACTATTGGGACAAGTCATAGGACAAAAACAACACCATGAACCTGTGTTGTTACCCCTCGTCCAATTGGTCGATGGATATTGGCCCAAACCCGTCCTTTCGGTCGCCAATCGCGCCTGGGTGTCGCTGGCGGCTTTAAGCACTGCGAGCGCCGCCTGCCACTGGTGCACAGCTTCGCAGGAGCTGAGCAGTGCAGTGTGGGTCACCAGATCCGGCGCCAGCTGCGCCTCAAGGAGTTTTCTCAGGAGCCCCGCAGGACCACGCGCTTGGGTATGAGCTTCAATTGCGGATCGTTTGGTGGACATGATTTCAGCTGGGATTTGTGTCTGCCACTTTATGAGAACGTCCCTCATTGAAATCCATGGCCACTTCTGTTTGCCACTGTGGTCCGCCAGGGCCCCCCGGCAGCTCCCACCCCTCAGCCCAGCCACGTCCTGCCCCCCGCAGCCCATTTGCTCGAGCCCATCATGGTTATTGTGAGATCTGGGGAGCATGACTTAATTTGGCTCTCAAGGGCCGGCAGTTGGAGGGCTTGGTGTCCGGATGTCGCTTTGCAACTATCAACCCCAAACCTTTCGGGTGGGCCGTATGGGAAGCCCAGACGGAAAACCAAACAAATGCGCCAAAGCAAAGCAACGGAAGAACCTCAACTACCAACTCGCGTCTCGCGTCCCATTTTTTGGCGGCTCCGGCCTGGCGCATGCGCTCGAACAGCTGCGTGGCGACTTGCCACTCTGCCTGCGCACGGAGGGCGGCATTGTAGCTGATGGCGTCCGGTCCTCGGATCGAATCCAAGCCAACCACGGGGGTTGCATAGGGGGCTCTGGGAAAAAATGGGCGAAACTACCCATCACGCGTCACTTGTTCGTTTCTTTTGGAACATGAACAATTGTCTATGAACCCTGGCAAGGGAACCTTCATGGGTCGCAACCGTGGCGCCGCAAGTTGCCCATGTAAATGTCTGCGCCAGTCAGTAGGTGGTTTAGCCCAGAAGTTCGGGGCTATCCGTCTTGAGCGGTGAAGGGTTTTGCCCATCCAAAGCAAGACCTGGCTTGAAGGCCGGGGGAGGTTAGTCGACAGAAGGGTTGAATCCTATAATAAGTCGCGGCAAGCAATGGGAGTATGTCCCAAAGCAAACCCAAACAAGGGGGACTTCCTGAATCGCTTCTTCCGATAAAAGAAGTCCCCAAAAAAACTCCAAGGCTGAACAAACGGGATGGTCAAACCCAAAGCGGGATCCACGAGTCTAGCAGACACCGAAACATGCCTTTCCGATGGCTAAGCATTGGGTCCACACTTTTGATTCTGTCCCAATCGTGGCTGTCATGTTTGTTTCCCCTTGAAAGCCACCAAACCAAAAGGTACCCATGCACCCCAAGTAATGGACACCTGAAAGCGGCATACCGCACTAAGAGCGCCGAAATGGGCCACGGAAAGATGCGACAAGGGCCTGGCTGTCGGAGGCCAGTGTGGCCACTGGCAACGATTAAGCCGGTTGCCATGGAATCCAAGAAAGGAACAACTTGAATGATGAGCTCCAATTAAGTGGTTTTAACTTTTAACATGCCATTTCAAATAACCCCGAGCAACACCTATTTCGGAGGCACATAAGTGGCCCACACGTTTCCCACGACCGACCGAAATGCGTTTCATAAACCGCTGCTTGAGTACTAGACGGTTGTCCCATGTTAGAGGGAAACCTTCACTTGCTCAGGGCACCCCTAGCTGTGCCTCAACAACCCGAGTGCTGCCCATCAAGCAGTGGGTGGGGGGTGCTGGCCCCTAAAAATCCACTATATAGGTTGATTAATCTGGGGTCGACATGGCACTCATGCTTCTGTGCACTTCCGCAGCTCCAGATTCAGAAGCTTGCATCTTCAGCTCTAGGAGGCCTTAAGCTCTACACCCCAATATCCACTGGTTGCAAGGTATAATGTCAACCCCTGACTAAAAAGACCCACACAAATATGGTTCTTCATAGTGCACCCGCAACAAGTACGAGTTGGGTGCATAATTTTGGGAAATCTCGCCATACGCATATATTTGTACAAATCCGTATATCTACAGTGATTGCCTCGTGAATTCTCAGACCACCCAGTGGTTCTTTGGCCCCTTCGCGCCGGGGAGCGGATCTCCTCCTGCTGCATCTCCCGGAGAAGCCGAAGGGCCAGGCGCCAACCGCCGCCGGCCGGGAGCGAGCGAAGCACCGCGTTGTACGCGATCCTCGCAGTCGTGTTTTGGCCAGCTTTAAATTTGACAGGAAACCCAGGGAAAACCCAAACTTGGGAGGTCGGGGGCTGTGTTGTTTGGAGTTGGTACCCCAAGTTTTGGCGTGTAAAGGGAAACTCAAGGGAAAAACACACACACACACACACTACTTGGGCTTAAGAAAGACAGCCCCTTTTTTGGCTGGCCATGTGGAAAGGGAACCTTTTTCAAGAAAAACGACAGAACGGTGCTATGTGCTACGCTCCCGTCCGTTCATACGGAACGTGACTAAGAAATCCTGGAAGACTAGTTTACTTTTAAAGAGACCCTCTTGTGGTTCCATGTTAGTGAACAGGAGGGTGCTGGGCAACTTTTCTATCTGATTCAACTTACTCCTCATTTACCATCTCGACAGGAACTCGGCGTGCAAATCCCAGAAGGCTCCCTTACCAGTATACATGCACATGTATCCGTCGAAATATATATATATATGTATATATGAGATGTGATCCAGCCCCCTACCCCCAGAAAGATACCTCCTGACAAGGCTGGGTTTTCTACAAGGGCTGTTTTTTAGTGCTTCTTCGTGTTTTTGTCTCAGCCTTCTTGTTGCTGTCTGGGCTTTGCAGGATTGTTCCAGACCGTCCACTAAAAAAAAGCATCTTGGGAAGCCCAACCCCCAAACAAGGTGAAGATTGACAGAACTGTACCTGCTTGCTACGCGTGTCTACGAAATCAGTTAGAATGATGTGGGAGCACTTCAAAACAAAATTCAGTCATGATTCATGATCATATAGGATAATAAAGTGTGATGGCTATTTGCCTACGTGGGTTCCCAAACAGGACACCCCCAAACGTACATTCCTTCACGGACGGCATTTGGGGGTCATGCTGTCTCTCAGAGAGTAGTGATAGTTGCGGCCTGCGTCATATACTCATCGGCACCGGCGCGAAAGTCAGGAGAGAAAGTTCGTGTTTTCGATGGTGGGGGGGGGGGTGAACGGGCCTGTGATGTCTTTGCTTTGGTCTGAAAACAGTCTGGCTTAGGGTCCTGTCACGCTTGATGCACCGCTGGCGCATGCCGGCAAACAGCTGCAGCGCTGTTTGCCATGAGCCCTCGCAAGCACTGATTGCTGAACTCCAGCTGATAACATCTGGCGCCACCTTCGAAGCAGTTGCTCGCTCTCTTGCGAATAGGTTCCTCTTGTTGGCCTTTCTCCGCAGAAATCGGACACCCCACGCTGCCCAAGCCCAACCACCCACGGTTTCGGGAAAATGTGCCGAATCATCCGCAACTCTGTGGTACCAAAGTGAGAGTTCCGTCCTCAGGAGCACTTTATCACTTAAATGGCCCAAGACGTGGCTCATGCTTAACCGCAACCTGAGTTTAAACCTTGCATTAGTTATAAATCGCACACATATCTCAAGTCGTACTAAACGTTGACTCCAGCAAACCATATGTAATTATGGTTTAATTCCTGGGTGCCAAATCAGTTGATCTGGAAAATGCAAACACGACGCATCCCCCATGTGGCGTCCGTTTGCGGAAATCAACCAGCCAGTTCACCAGTAAGCTGCCCCAACTCTACAGCTTTCAACTTCTGGGGAAAAAACGCAGAACACTGGGCCCAGTTGACCAGTGACCCTGGCTTACCAGCAAACAACTGAGGAGTTGACTCCATGTTAATGTGCTTGGTCGGATCAAAACGAAAAGGCAAACAGGGCGCCCATTCCTGAAGAACTAGGGCTTATCTTAGTGGCAGACAACAAGTTGGACTATTTTTGGGCAATCCACTCAGGAAGTGAGTCCAGGTGGCATAAACCACAAAATGTGGCTGTCACATTTACTGGGGAAGCACCTCAAAAGTGGTTGGTGTCCAACAAACAAGTCCCCTAGTAAATTTAAAATAACGCTCATGTAATGCATACCAATGAGTAAATACTGCATACGTACGTGGAGTGGTTGGGTATGTTGTTTGTTGAATCTTCAGGAAGCGAATGGCTGCATATCGAGTGTGTGTTGACTGTGTTCCAGTTGGACCAGAATCTGAACATATTTTGTAGTATCCTGGGGTTGGGCCATGGTTTGGGGAAGTTCAGACTAAAGTCCATGACCTCAGGAACTGAGCGGAAGCGGGCCCCGAGGCCTGCATGATGTCCATGTCCTGCAGCAAGCTTACGGCAGAGCGCCACATGCCGGCTTTCTGGCAGGCGCTGATGGCGGCATTGAAGCCTAGGTCCGGGCCAAGCAGAGTTACCGTGGGTGTGTGTGTGTGTGTGGGTGTGTCAGAATACGAGAGTGTGTGTGTGTGTGTGCGTATTTAAGGGAACTGAAAATGGCTTCGGCTTGCCTGTTGGTGTCCCTTTGAAACCGCAAACAATGAGGTACCCTCAAAAAACAACAAAATAATGGCCCCGCCCAACCCCCATTTATTTATTTATTTTGTTTGGGGGGGGGCGCGGGGCTCCCTCCAAAATCAGTTGAAGTCGGAAACAGTCTCTCTTGTGTTTGGGGTGCTACCTTTTCTGTAAACCAACCTACCCTCCAAAAGCACAAAGTCATGCAGGGCGTCAGTTAGTATCAGGTGCGTTGATGATTGGGTCGACAAACTATTTTCCACCGCGTGGTTGAAGCCGCCATTTGGAGGAAAATCACAATTCTGGAGAAAACAGAAACACCCCTTTGGCGGCTCAAATGGCCATGCGTCAAAATCCCGTGCCCCTAGTGAACATCCCAATCCCCACTAAAAAACACTAAAATGGGTGGTGCAGCTTCCCCAAAATGGCACCATTGGTTTCGACCCACAACCAAATAGAACCCGAGGGCCGCTTTTCCTCGGCCGGGCCGCTCACCAAAGATGGACCCAGCTTTTCCGATGGCATCTCCTGGCAAAAGCCGAGTTTTTTTTGTGAAGGCCTGACTCAGGTTCTTTATCTTTTGCGATCCCTATTCGAGGCTTTGGAAGTATTGTAAGCTGTTTTTCAAGTGGAAGTTTTCGTCTGTTGAGACTTTTTGCTGTGGTCTTCAAGTGCAAGCATGGGGAGAAAGTATCTTAAGCGAGTGAATGAGTCCACCCCGCTCTTTCTACCAAGACTGACCCTTGGAAAACATATGGGAGGTACGGAAAATACAGAACCATGGGAAGACAACAAACCGATCACATTGCTAGACATGACCAAAGCTGGAACCAAGTTGAAACAAGCAAGACACGTGGACATGCAGCAAACCCTCGAGTGAAACCACATAATCCCCTTAAGCCAAGAGGTATGCGTCCCACTTATGGCTGTGTTTTTATTTTGGTTTTCCTTTTTGTAGCCACCCCCACCCCTCTAGGGGACACTTCCCCACTTTCCAGGGATCCTTCTTTCCAGAAAACCATCGGGGAAACAGCGATCGGTTTTTTGAAAAGAACCATGGTTGAAAAGAATGGACAAGGAATCAACCCCTAGAACCCCCCCTTTTTACTTTGGTTGTCCTTTTTGTAGCCAAACCCCCCGTTTCCCCCCCCCCCCCCGCCCGCTTTTTGGGGCGGTAAACAGACACACTCGGCCAACTGGCAAACCCCTGCGCCGCTTCCGCTCCTGCAAGAGCTCCAGCGCCATTTGCCACTGCGCGCCGCGCTCGCAGCCGCTGATGGCGGCGCAGAAGCCTCGGAGGTCCGCTCCAAAGCGAGGAATCGGGAAAAACCGGACACCGCGCGGCGAGGAATTTGAGTGGCTAGGTCCTCCAGTAGAGAGGTTAGAATAAGGGTACCTTTTTTGTAGTCTATTTTAGTGGGGGAACCCTCCCCCAAAATAAGGGTAACATGGCACTACTGGGGGATCTAGGTGGGGAATATGGAATCAGACATGGTTGGTGCACAGAAATATTCATGTAGATGGAATGCGGAGTGCCCTCGAAAATGGCTGGTGCACGGAATTGCTGTTCATGTAGATGTGAGTCATGATCAACGCCAGGTACTCAAGGGTCTAAATCTTCATGATGTGAGTCACAAACACCCGGTACTTAAGGGTCTAAATGAATGCAACAAGAAAACTACGAGACAAGGGTGGCACCTAGCTATGGTGGGATTGTCCCTTTCAATCCTTAATCTACCCGGGTTTTGATTGTGGCTTAAGCCCACCTTGTCGCTTTTGTCGTGCGGTCCATTTGGGTGTGCCTTTTGAGAGTATGATCTTGGTTTAAAGGAAAACCAGGAACCTTGGTTTAAGGCGAAACCAAACGTACAATCCTGTTTCTTCTTGTGCCCCCCTATTTGACACATACCAATTTGGAGAAACACGAGGTCCCCCGCCTTTGGCATCCAGCCTCAAAGGGCATCCCGAGAAGGCCGCCCAGAATACGGGATCCGACATTCTGGCCTTGCATCGTGGATTCGCAAAAACATATTGGCGTGAACCGACCACATACAACCACAAAAACCTCACTTGAATTGATGCAAATTACTGAGTGTGCCTAGTTCTCCTATTTGCAGTCTTTAAGGCATCGACTTCTCTCCTGACTCTCTCTTGGTCATCTCCTGAACAGAAGGGTCCTCAAAATACAGCAAGTATAGCTCCAATGGACTTGCATGCGCGCATGCGCGCGAGCGCACGTGCCGTCTCTGATACTATTTGCAGAGACGCTGACGTGGTTGGGACGGCACTCCATGGTACGGAGCAAGTGCAAGGCCACTTGCCACTGCCCTGCCTGGCCGCAGGGACTCGCGGAAACTGGTTACCCTTGCGACACCAGCCGCCCTGGAAACTTGGCAGTGAGTACATGGAGGGTATCGAACAAATCAGGCACATACCCATGCGCGTGTGGTTTCTCTCTGTGAGCATAAACCAAGGTTTGCGACAAGTACGATGTTTTCCGCCTAACCGTGGCCCACAAGGCCATGTTCAAAACCACCAACAGCGGAATTATGTATATATGTATATACACATACTACACATATTATTTAAGAATATACCCGTAGAACGGGTGGTTGGCCGTCGCTTGCACATGGGTACGGCTCAAAATTAAAGAGCTGGGGTGACGCGGGTTTTAGTCTTTGGTTCCATTTACCAGGGTGCCATTTTGGTACCACTTTTTTGAGCCACAGCCATATGTCAAAAGGGGGGGTGCGGAGGGGAGGGGGGGTGTAACAACTGCCACGTTCCACTGCACACAGTGGTGTTTGGCTTAGCGGCATGCTCCTGGAGGTTGGAGGCCCCCCGTTTTCGTGGTGCTCAGTGGCATTCTGCTCGATTTCTGAGGCACCCCGCAGTCTGTTTTAGTTCTTTTTCTAGCCCCCCGTGGGAGCCCTGGCAACTATCATTATTTTTGGTCTGCGTGACTGGCGTGTGCAACATGTTCCTTCTCCGCTTCACTTTGTTGCAACTGTTGTCCTTTGTCCACTTCAAGAACTATTTCACAGAATACTTGGCGTTTGTCCTCTTTGGCAGGTCTTGTGACGTTCAGTTGCAGGAGACAGTGATCTTTGGAGATCAGGGGGCACCACCAGCTTTCTGCTTTGGGGGCATTGGGCTGCCTTCGTTGTTCTTGGCAATGGGAGATGCTGAGAAGGCGTGCGCCAGAGCCAGCAGTGGTTGCTGCCGTTTTTGTTCTTTGCTCTCGGGCCCCATCTAAAAGGCCTGCAAACAGTACGGACTGTCGCTCCCTTAGGGCCAAGTCAAACTTCCCCCCCGCGTGACAGCTTCTCACCTGACCGTCCGTCCTCGCCGTATTCTTTAGTATACACATTACATACGTGGGCTTTTGTTGAGGCTAGCCTTTTTAGCTTGCTTTCTTCGGGAAACCTGCACGACCGAACTCCCCCTTGCGCCGTCCGACCCTGGCCGTCCGACCCCGCCCCCGGCCTTGCCACAGGCGCTGATGAGAACGCTGAAGCTCACCACGTCCCGAGCGCTCGAGCGCAGTCCTGGCACACGAGATCACAGGGGTGTGTCCCTAGCACGCATCCCTTGCAAAAAAAACGATCAACATGATGAGGCTTCCAATTTCTCCCAACTGCCTTAACATCCACCGCAAGCAACCCCATCCCCTATGTGTTGAGGTTAAAAGGCAAGCTGCTTTTTCCACAACCCGTCTTACTCCAGTTGTTCAGTGGCACCCCCTCAATCTGTTTCTTGTGTTTCCCCAGCAACCAAGGAATTTGCAACTTGCAACCCCAAAAAATCTGGCTCCAGATTTCGGGTCACTGGCTGCAACTGGTCGGTTGACTGTTTCCCTACTCACCAGCGGCTTGGCTTCCGCAGGGCCCCCCTATCAGCCACCTCAGCTTTCCAGGGTGGGCCACTGGGCAAACCCATGTGACAAGCCTGTCCTTCTTTTTACCCCCCCCCCCCGTTTTTTGGAGGAAATATTAGGGGCTTTTTTGGGGAAAGATAAGGGGGCCAAAAAACAGAATCAACTCCTAGACATCATGACTAGCTTGTATTCTACTACCAGCCACCCTTCGATTTGTTTGGTAGATGGGGCTGGCTCACTTGCTTTAGATCTAGTGAATCTAAGGTGACGCTTGCCCACCTTAAAAACGAGATACCATTCCTTTCGTGGCCCACTTGCGGGCCTTGCTTCAAGACACCCACAAGGCTTGGCCAAAACACAACTCCCATGTGCCCTCATTGAACACGTGAAAGTTCAAAATGGCTGCCGATCTCATTTCTCCAGGCTCCGGCTCACCTTCCTTGGGCAGCTTCCTCAAAAAAACCGAGGCCATCGGTTTTCCCCATAAGCGGCCAGCCCATTTGCCGAAGCTCCTTGGAAGAGGTGCAGGGCGTGCTGCCACCTCGGGCGCGAGGCTCAGTGTGGCAAGGGTTTTACAAGCTGCAAGTTGATGAGTTTCTGGGATTCTCCCAGCACCCAACCACTGTTTTCTCAACCAGGTCCAAGTGGTTGCGACGCATGCTGGAGGTTCTCAAGATTGCTTTTCCGGGGGTCTGCCCTTTTGAGAACCCCCCCCCCCGAAATGGACTCGGACTAGTGCAACGAGGACCCTTGTTCCTTCACCGCTTCCGGAAGCCCGCCGGTGCTTCTGGAAAACCACTTGCAACCCAAGCAACACACGCGGTGGATCAAAAAACCGGAATTCCAAAATGGGTTGCCCTGGTAAGTGGAGACATGGACCAAACCCCCGCGGTCTGCCCCTCCTGTTTAATCTTGAGCCACGGTCACGTGTGTCAAGATGCCCGTGACCAAAACGCGCCAATGGGGCAGGTCACGGGCAGGTCACCCCTAGGATTCTTCTTGAATGGGCCCTGGTTTTCCGGCCCTTTCCTCGGGTGCCTGCAAACCCACCCCCGGCCAATTTCTCACTTTTGATGATACGCACGCCCCCCCCGCAAATGATAACTATTCCTGTCGGGGAAGCACACATATATACTAGTGAGCAAGGGAGGTAAACGGCTTGGCAATCATCATGCTATCAATCAGGCATGTTTTATTTGTGCGTGTGATTGTTGACAGTGCCCTTTTCGCCTTGTGTCGGGAGCTCCATCTATTGAAAACCACAATTCTGGGCCCTCCCTATTTTGACCCCAAGGTGGACTTAAGGGGCAGTTCGTTTCGCTGGGTTCAGTCTGCCGGGCAATCAACAAACGAGCGGCGCCCAACACTCATTGACTTTGGGTTCTAGCAGCACAGTTAAATACACCGCGTTTCGTAGGCCTTACTATAGGCCCCACTAGAACGGCCCGAGTAGAACCATACCAAAACGGCCATGGGGCGTCGGTTTTTGGGCGCTCAAAGGGATGACTCGTGATAGGTATTGGTGAATCATGGTTTGGTGTAATTCTATTTGGCCCTTTCCCGGTTTGACGAGCCGAGATCATCTCGACTCAGCCGAGCCGCTTGTTCCCCTTCTCGCAGGCGCCCAAAGCGCCGCTGGTGGCCACTAAGTCCCGGTCACCAGGCGCCAGGCGATCCTCGGCGGAAAAGCTGGAAGGGACTCAACCCGGGACTCAGCCCCTGGTTGGGTCACAGAAAGGTGGCCCAGTTAAAAGGGCATCCTACATTTTCGCGGGAAATTCCCATCTAATGCCGGGCATGCTATACGCTTTTTGAGGGCCACCCTACCTCATCCACCAGGTTTCCGGGGTCGAAAGTTAGGTTCCCAGTTGCCCAGTGACCCCGGTACAGAAAGATTCGGACACAAAATGCCCAGACCATGGGGATGGCCAACCAGCAGCAAGTTGAACGTGAAAGTGTCACTTACCCGGAGCTCCTCTTGGCCAGGGGAAAAAAGGACGCCCCCTCTAGTTGATTCGTTTTGAAGGCAGTCCCACCCAACAAAAAGGACAAAGGGCACACTACTGGAGGTCTAGGATAAACTCAATACGTGCAACCAACAACTTCAAGGTGAAGAGGCAAATTAGTTGGTCACTCCATGAAGGTTAAGGGTGAGGAGGCAACTTCACCATTTCGCATGGCCTAGTGAAAGGCACAATCACAGTCAACGTAAAACGGCGAAAACAACATCTAGGAGGCGAGCTAATTCTGCCTTGACGCAATTCAAACCAAACAAAGCTAAAACCAAGCTGAACCAAGTTTTGCCTTGAAACAGGCAACTTAGGCCATGGAACACTTTGATGGAACCAAGACATACCATGCACGACCTTGACGCAACCATGTTAAAACAAGCTATACGCCTCGATGCAGCAATGCAAACAACCAAGTAAAACCTTGACGCCGCCGTGGTTTTCGGCAGGTAACACATTCATATTGATGCCACCAAGCTTGCACCAAGTTGAGCCGAGGGAAAGGTGAAAGCTTGCCGCCAAGCAGCGAAGAGGCCCAGCCCAGCCTGCCAGGCAGAGCCGCGCTCGCAGATGCTCATAGCGGCGCTGAGGCAGATCTTGTCCTCAGGGTTTGCGGGGCGTGTCCGAAACCACAGGCAGTTCGCCGTGAAGATGTTCCCACCGCCTGTTTTGTGTTGTTCGTGTTTTGGGAATTTGGACCATGCTGGATTCCGCGGAACGGAATGTTTCGAGAAACACCGAGCATGACTCCACTCTTCTAGTGCTGCTTCAGTTCCAAGGCCGGACGTTGCGAATCCGAATGTGCGCTGGTTCAGTTCTGGGGGAGTTACGACAACAGCAAAATTACGACCCTCCAGATCCCAAACACGCCAGGCCAACAGCTAGTTTAGACCAACCCAGCTGGACTGCTTCGTAGAAGGTGAGGCCCAAAAATGATGACACTGGCCTCATTGGCAAAAAGGCGCTGTACTTGGTATTTCTGCAAGAGCACAAATTCAGACATCAGGCTGCTCTTCAGGTCGGTCCCTTGCAAATGGAAACCAAGGGACACCAAACCATTCCATTCCTGGGATTTCATCTTGAGGCTCGGAGAACTGCACGCGGCAATGTGACGCCAAGGTTATCGGAAAATGGACAAAGGGCGAAAAGTAAAGCGCCTGTTGCTCGTGGTGGAAAGCCTGGCCTAGGATTACGGCACAATACATCAGCAGACCCTGGAAAATGACATGATTGATCGGGATGTGTCCATATGGTGCCATACAAGTAAGCCCGACTATCCTAACACCAAGTGACCGAGGGTGAGCTGGAAGTTGTTAACCAGAGTCCAGTTGAGCGAACCCTTAAGCTCAACGAAACCCAATGCCAACAGCTGCCCGGTACGCTGCCTGAGCACGGAGGATGAAAGTCTCAAACAAACTCGCACTCAAGAAACAAATGGTCGTCTAATCTAACTGTTGGCACAGCCACCACAAGGAATCGAAAGGGCACCTTAACAGCCTGATTCATGCACCCTAGCAATACATGAGCAGTGTTCTAAACCCAGAAGAGACATATCAAATTCCTTCCGCGAAGGCTTCCGCGGCGTAAAAGGTTCCTTCCGCAAGACGTTTGAAGAGGAAATCGATTCCGCGTCGCTTCCGCATTGAGAAACGGGATTGAAGTTTGTTTTCGCTTTCGCGCGTGAAGGAAAACTACAATTGATTGCTTTCGTGATTGAATCGTAGCCCTTCCGCGAAGCTTCCGCGAGTACATAATTGAGAAACCCCTTCCGCGAACCTTGCGCGGCGCTTGCGCGACCCAGGAAAAGTCAACATTTTGAAAACGATATTTCCTCCCGAATACTACTTTCAAGTGTAGGGGCTCTAGAACGTCGCTCACATGGTATTTATCTTCCCACCCCAACTCCTGTCGTATTAGGGGACACGTTGGAGCCAATTCTAAGCCAATATTCAAAGCCAACAAGTACTAACCCAATCTTGATTAAACCAACTCGAAACCATAAACAATCCACAAATGAGCCAAATGACATCCATGTCTTCTCGGAAATTGCCGATGATCTTTTGGGCCCGGAAAGGAGATAACCCAACTCGGACAAGACATGTAGCGGAACCCCTCCGGCACCCAAATGTACCTTATCATACTTTTCCTCCGCAGGCGAATAGCTTCTGATTAAGGGGGGAGGCGATTACAAAGGCCACGAGATTGAGGCTTTGTGGCCATTGGTCGGCTACAACCTCTCTGGGTTAGACTCGCCCAACCCGGCTTGATCCCAGTTGCAAGGCCCAGTCGCGGGGCTCGCAAAGCCAGCATCCAACAAATCCAGCGCTCTCTGCCACTCCAGGGACTTCCCACACGCGATGATGGCGCAGGTAAGGCTCACCTTAACCCAAGAACTCACCCTCACCTACTGGTTCATGCCACCACTAAACAAGGTCAGCAAGAAAGGGTTCAAAACTTTGAAAGTTTGGTGTTGGACAAGTCAGCTCGTAAAGTGGGAGGTTGCATGACCTTTATGAGATTGCAGTCTGCCGAGATTGCCTCAATCGGCTTCCAGGGGTTAAAACGTTTCTCCTACGCTCCAGCCGCCCTGTCCCCAATCCAAGAGCCTACTAGCGCCATGCCGTTCGGGCCGCAGGCCCAATGGGAAGGGGGGGCGCTTTGACAAACTTGAGGACTCTATGTATCTCGTTGACCGGGAGCGTCCTTTGAAACACTGAAAGAAACTTGGCTAGTTGCCTACTGTGTATATATTTATACACACCATATGTACGTGCTTGATGTGTTCACCCTAAGGGTTCCCTTTTCACCTCGGTTTAAATGGAAACCCAAGGGTCCACCACCATGTTTGGGGTCAAATCCAATTCTGATACCGTACTCGTGACTGGGATCTTGGAAACGCAGAACTGGATTTCCGAGTCGCAGCATCCGGCACCAGCTCCGCTTGAGGCATTTCCTGCGCACTTCTCTGCGAGTGGTTTTTTCTCCGCAGGTACCCTTCTCAGTTTGGCTCAAGGAGGAACCAGGAGAGTCACCGTGTTTGCAGCTAAATCCCGTTTTTGAGCCCTAAAATAACATCATATGACGCATTTTGCCCTCCCTTCCTGGAAGAGGGCGACCGCCAGTCGCCAGCCGCGGTCTTTGCCGCAGGCGGAGATCAGAGCGTGGTAGCTCTGAAGGCTCTTGGCCTCTCGAGCGGCAACCGACCTTCATGGATTCATTCGCAGACTCTGAAGGGGACGTTCCAAAAATGGTGAGCAGTTAAACTGGCCGATTCTTGAAGGTGTTTCATGGTTCCCCCATAGCCACGGTCAAAAACTACGCTGGTTTCTCCAATTTGGAGCTCTCCCCCGCATGTCCCTCCAAATGGGCCGAAGACTATGTTAAATTCTGACCGAAGCTCATTTACTTCCCCAGTTGCTCAGTGACCCTTGTGGAATAAGAATCTGAACCCGCAGAGTTTTCTGGGGTTGAACCTCCCACCCTTTGGGCTGTAGTCTGGTTGCTTCAACAGATTGGCCCAACCCTGCAAACAACCAAAGGAAAAGCAAAGGCAAACAAGTTTGTCTCGCTTTAGATCAATGGGTATGCCAAGTGGCATTCAGCTCTACAGACTTGAAGTGCACAGGGAGCGTGCTGAGGGAGCGTGTTTGGGGCTTGAGTTGACCAAAGCCAACCAAAGTTTGCTAGTTATTCTTCTTCATTGTTGGGGGAGGGGGTAGTTAAGCTGTTTGGCTCCCCATCTAATGCGGCCCCTTGGCTCCCCCGGAATCCTTGCTAGTAGTGGACCCACGTCAGGCACCGGCGCATGTCACACCTTGACGAAGGTCCGGTGCTCGTCCAGTTGTCCAGCGGCTGCGGGAAAAACAGACGCCCATCTTTTGGGTGGGAAACATGAACTCCGGCCAGACATAGACCCGTGTAACGAGTATCCACGTGTGCTTTGTCGTGGCTAAAAGGGGAATCAAGAAAACCAAAATGAAACAAAATCAAAGGCTAAGCCAAGTCTGGGAATGCAGAGAAAGTTGACACCAAAATGCAAAGGGTCCCTTGGTTGATCAGGTACCAAGAGACCCTGTTTGCACCTCAATCCGCACGTAGCCTCCAGCAAAAAAACACTTGCCATTGGGAGGTTGGTTATCCCTTTGCCCTCTACAAGAACCAGGGGTTCAAATCCCCAAGCCACCAATCCAAACCACAAATGACCGTAAGGGTTACTCGATGCGATGGATGGCACCGTCGCAAAAACTACCCTGGCTTTCAATGACCTAGCGAGACTGTTTCGTGGCTGATTCCCGAACCAACGACCACTTGATCACGTCATTTCGGATTTCAATGATTCCCCTTTCCAGGAAGTGGGATGCAAATCCCCCGATTTCCCATATGCCTTGAATTCTGGGCAACGGGACCCAGCCTTCGGCAGGATTGCCAGGGCCTGCTGCCACAGCAATGACCTGGCGAATCGATGGAAAAGTCGATGGCTTCGTATTATTGCTGCACTGTGCTTCCAGAGGCTATTGAGGGCAAACCCGTCAAATTCAACTGCCAACCGCCTTTGATAACCTGCTCTCTAACTCATGGGTGTAGGGTTTGGGGTCAAAATACGTGGTGTGGCACGACAAGAGAAAACACAGAGTTCCGCGGGCGTCCATACACAACAGATAAACACCCCGTTTTGTCGGTTGGAGTTTGTTTCAAGGTTTGGGTCTTCGCAGTCTTGAACAAGAAGGCTGGGTTGGTTCAACTGCCCCTGGCTCACAAAGCTCGTTGGTCGCCAGCTGGTGTGGAAAGCTGAAAGCTCGAAGTTGAATCAACCGAGAAACCAAGACAAAGTCAATGTTGAATTCTGCTTGGTAGCGTCCAGCTATTATTGATGGGGTCCCTTTTTGGTGAAGATACCTCTATTCCAGGGGGTCAACACCAATTCAGCATGCTTTCGTGGATTTACGCCAAGATTGTGGCAACAAGAATGATGGATCACATGTCCAAACTGTCATGGGACCTGTTCTTCAACGGAAACAGGTTCTGCACAACCAGGTTTGTCATGATTGCAGGAGAATACTGAATAGTACTATTTGTTGAGCCCCTTTTTTGGTCATGGCTCCCAGCAACTCAGGTTGGACAATAATGCATCCCGGCTTCCGTGAATGGCAGGATTCAAAGCCGGCTCCATTTTCATGGCTGTGGAAAATAAGCCTGGTGATACAAAAGTGATTCATTGCCATGACTTCATCAACCGGTCTGTTAATCCTGGGTTCCCATAGTCACAGAAACTGCACCAAAGTCACCACGAGCATTGCTCCGGCAGTTAGGGTCCAACCCACCAGCGGTCCACTGACGAGTCTCTAGTGGCCATGCCGGTGAGGCACAAGGCGTTTGGGCAGTAGGTTGCTCCGAAGCCCATTTGCTTTCTGACGAAACGGTCTTCCGTTTTTCATGGTCAGTTCAGGAACCCAGGCGCTGAGAATCCCTTTGCAATTTCTAGAAACACAAATCCGAAACTGGAAATAAAAGGATCCCAGCTCCCATAATGGAGCTTCATCATGGTGAGCTCATTTTACCCCGATGAGCTTGCCATGGGCAGAATGATGAACAAAGCCCAAGCATATTAAAACCGGCATGCCAAGTAAAGAGAGCAGGTCACACCTGCGAGCAACGCAGAAAGGGTGTTTCCAATCCAAGGGGGTCTCACCAATCTCCTCGTTTGGCCCGCAAAACACAAGTGGCCTGTGATTCCCATGGGCTTTAGCTGGGACCTCAAAACAGGTAGCTTCCCTTTGGTGCCCTTTTCAAAGCGGAAAATACAAAGACGCACCTCAACCTATGAAATACCCAGGGCTGCAAATCCAAGGGCGAGCGCCGACAAAACCGAAGCCGGCGCCTCGTGCAGGAGGAAACGCCCAGAGTGTAGCTCTCTTCACCCAGATCATCCTGAAGACGGGTGGGCTCAACGGTTCTATTGTTGACTACCCTCAAATGGCATAACCCAGGGGTGGGGCATGTACACCTAATTCCTGAAATGGGTGAGTCTTAAATACACCCCAAAAAAAGACAGGGGGTCCTTTTGTTCCCTTTAAAACAATCCCAAAAGGGCCTTGAAAAAGGACACAACTGGCCCAAATCGGTGTCTTCTCGCAGAACGATCCGCCCAATCCGCCTCCAAAGCCTGCAGTAGCGGCAGCACCAGATCCGCGCGCTTCTCCGCGGTAAAGAGCTTCAGCAACCGGGGCACCTAAGCTTGGTTGCTGTTGACCCTCCTGCAAAAAGTTTAACTGTTTGGGGTTTAGTGGAAAACTTTATTTCCCAAAAAGTTAGTCTAAAGATCCAACCCAATAGCAGTCAAGTAAGGGGCGGAGTTGAGGTTGGAGTTGGGGCGGAGAAGTGGAGCGGAGGTGGTGTTGGGGAATCGGAAGGTGGAGCGGTGCAGTTGTGTCACGTCGGGGTCGTTGCGTGGTATTTGCTTTTGGTGGGGGTTGCTACGTTTGGCTTGCTGCCGGTTTGGTTGCTTTGTCTGGCTGTGGTTGCTTTAGTTTGATGGGTTTGCTTGGCGTGCGGGTCTTTCGTCTGGCTGCTTGGTTCCCAGAACGTCCCAGGCAGGCGCGCATGAAGGGTCCAAGTTGGTGTTGGCATGGTCATGTTGCCGGCAGTCACTTCCTCTGTGGATTGGTTCCAGTTCAAAGCTGTTGAACTTGCCACTAAAATGTCCTATGGATGTGAACTCCCAGGTCCCTTGGGCTTTTGTCGGGACAATTGGTTGGCTGCTGATTTCTGAGTGTGCCAGGGTATTTTCAATCCAAATTCATGACCACTGGATCGACATGGTAGTCATGGTTCAATCCTCATATTATCCTTTCTCCGTATGGCTTAAAGGTACACAAACAAACAACAACCACCTTGTGCGCTCCCTACTTGAAGACAGGCGTGCGCCTGGGAACTAGCAAGTCAACCTTTTGGCCACGACTCAAACAGACCAACCAAAGGACATTAATTTGTAAACAGGGTCTGTCTTGGAAAAAGGACAAGCTGAGACCCCGGCCCCGGTCGAAAAGCGAACACTTCTCGCGCCTCCGCCGCCCGCAGCCTTCGGAAGGGCGCCAAAGCCCCATCCAGCTCCTTGCCACAGGAATGCGAAGTGGAGCCCAGAATGGCAAGTGCAAGGCACTTCAGGTACAAATTAATGGACTTGGAGCTTTTTGGCGTACATGTAGGTGGCTATACATGTATGAAAGCATACATGTAGCTGTATGTATATGTACGTGTGCATGAGTTGCGCACTTATGTAGTGGTCATGGAATCTGGGGCTACTTCGGATT